GCCTCCAGCTCTGAGGCCTCCGCTGCTGAAAGTAGGTATCTGTTTTATTTCGATTCTATAATCGAAACTCTGTATCAACTCCAGCTCTGAGATCCCAGCTCGCAGCTTCTATATTTGTTACAATGTTCAAACTGCAGGCTCAGAGGCCGGCAAGGCAGGCGGGGAACGCTGGAGTCCTCCATCACTGAAGCAAGCCAGCCTCATGTTCAGTTTAAGCTGCCTGGCTGCCGGCCGCCATCTTGGCTGGAAGTTAATTTGCATATCTCGCTGATTAGCCAATGGGAAGGGTAGCGGTCGTACGCCAATTACTAAGTTTCTTTTTTATTAGATAAGGATGGGAGATGGCGACGTAACCACAAAACGGCATACATCGAGTCTGACGTAACCCGAGGACTGCCTGTATTTACTCCCATTCGATAGATTGCTTTGCATTTTGTTGATGATTTCCTTTACTGTGCAGATAAAATTTATCTTTTTTTAAATTCAGAAATACTAATATTCAAGTATACTATGTTGTAGTCTAACTTCTTGTAGCTTAATGTTTTGTTCTAAAATGGGTGCCAAAGTGTTTAGGTGTAGTCAAAAGAACAATACAACATCAGTCTTCAATTCTACTTAGCTGAATTTAATTAAGTGACTCAGAAAAAAAGACCTATTACCTCCCTTAGGCTTGGTTCTTCTATAAAATTAAAGGGATACAGGGACCCCATGGCTGGAAGAGAGGCAGAGACGAGTCAGAGTCAGTGCACATCAGGCTGCCTATGCTATTGCTCCCAGAGCGCAGAGAATAAAGGGAAGGTGGGTGGGTGGCAAATGAGGGGCAGAAGGGGAATGTGAAGGAGAGAGGGCCATTATTTCTGAGCAGAACTTTGAATGAATTTTATTTTCCTATTGACAAAAACAGAGGTAACCTGCCCTGACCGGTTTGGCTCAGTGGATAGAGAGTCAGCCTACAGATTGAAGGGTCCCAGGTTCGATTCTGGTCAGGGGCATGTGCCTTGGTTGTGGGCACATCCCCAGTGGGGGGTGTGTAAGAGGCAGCTGATCGATATTTCTAGCTCTCTATCCCTCTCCCTTTCTCTATGTAAAAAATCAATAAAATATATTTAACAAAAAAAAACAAACAAACACAAAAAAAAACAAAACAGAGGTGCCAGATAGTACCTCAGACTACATAACCATTATGTTTTGAACATTTTGAACTGATCTTCATAAACATTTCTAATATTCAGGGACAGTTAATCATTAAGTAACTTCTCTGACTCTTAGATTTGGAAGGAATTACTTTAATGCTTTCAATTTTTTCTTAATCTTTTTCTTTAAAAAATTTTTTAAAGTTATATATATATATTTTATTAATTCTCACCCAAGGATATTTTTCCATTGAGTTTTAGAGAAAGTGGGAGGGAGGGGGAGATACAGAGAGAAAGGAACATCAATGTGAGAGAGACACATCGATCGGTTGCCTCCCCCATGAGTCTGGATCAAGCTTGCAACAGAGGTATGAGTCCTTGACCAGAATCGAACCCAGGACCCTTCTGTTCATGGGCACTCTATCCACTGAGCCAAACTGGCTAGGGATATATATAAATTTTTTTAAATTGATTTCAGAGAGGAAAGGAGAGGGAGAAAGAGATACATCAATGATGAGAGAGAATCATCAATCAGCTCCTCCTGCACACTCGCTACTGGTGTTCAAGCCCACAACCCAGGCATATGCCCTTGACCATACTGAACCCTCCTAAACCCCATTAAATGAGCCCTTCCACTACATGAGGACATACTGAGAAGGCACCAGCCAGGAACCAGGAAGAGGGTCCTCATCAGTAGGCAACTGTGATGGCACCTTGACCTTCGATTTCCCAGCCTCCAAAACTGTGAGCAATAAATTTGTTATCTACACTAATAAAAGAGAAACATGCAAACTGGTCACTCCGCTACGCCCACCAGCCAATCAGAGCAACTATGCAAATTAACCCAACAAAGATGGCGGTTAATTTGCATACGCAGGCGCAGAGTGAAGACTGAAGACTGAAGAGGCTTGGCTTCTCCGCTGCGGCCGGAGGGGAGAAGCCAAGCCTTGCTGTGACCTGACCAAAGGCCTGGGTCCCTGGTGCCGGAGGAAAACCATTGCCGGCAGCCAGGGGAGGGAAGGTCTATTGCGTGAATCTTCATGCAACGGGCCTCTAGTTTTAAAATAAAAAACATTAAACAAATAAACAAAAAAATTTAAGGAATAAACCCACACAGACAAAGAAAACAGGAGAGAGCACTACCAACACAAAAGTTTGGAAGCTGAAAAGCAGATGCAGCCATGGTTTCTGGCTTACCTAACTCATGAAAGCTATTCCCAAACCAGCAGTGGGGAAGCCAAAAATGCAAAGTGTTTTACAACGTAGACTTCTGAGGTAGCTCAGGAACTGGCAGCACCAGATAGGTATAAAATAGAGGTACGGTTAGGAGGCCTGATAGAAAATGCTTATAAAAAGGTTAAATTCCCACTATGGGCAGATTCTAGGACATTTATCCTCTCACAACAGTAAAATATGAGTTACTCAGTGGATACCAGGTATAGTAGTGGTGGTGATACCATGCTGGAAACAGGGAGATTACATGAAAATGTATACTGTATCCCAGAAAGAAGGGCAAAAATGGCTAAGAAAAAACAATACAGAGAAGACAAGAAAATTAGAGTATCAATTCAGAAGATGCATAAACAAACAGTAAAAGTGCTAGAGTCAGAACAGAGAAAAAAACAAAACAGATATTCAAAAGACCAATAATCAAAATGGCTTTATACTTCTCAAAAGCAATACAGAAGTTATAAAAGGAGCATTTTTTTTAAGTTTTCAAAGAACATAAAACAATTCTATGCCCAAACTATCAAATGTGAAAATATAGACATTTTTAGACATGCAAGAACTCTAAAAACTAATCTCCCATGTATCCTCACTGGGAAAGACTCTACAACAGAATCAGTAAACCAAGAAAGACAATGATAGAAGAAGCAAAAGCACCCCTAACATTTCCTGTCTAATTTTTTCTAAAACTAAAATAAACATTTAAAAAATAAATGCAGATCTATTTTACCTGTGATGAACCATTCTTAGCTCCCTGGAAGCATTCAGATATAAAAATGTTATAAGCTGAGCGAGGTCTTTTTGGTTTTCCAAGCAGTGTTAACTCCTGAGGAGTGAAAATGGAAGAGTTAGATACAGTTTTAACATCTCTGAGACTTAATTTTACTTGCAGAAACTGTATTCACTACTATGCATTATGCAGAATGTTCTTTAATGTGAATGTTCTGATTCTTATATAAAGTATGCAATTATTCCCTCGTGAGGTCAGAATTTGATAGCATTATTTTGAAAAACATAATAGATTTTGAGTTATTTGCCCTACATTTCCTTTACATATTATTTTCATGGTCTCCATGAACTAACTAACTGAGCACCTATGTACAAATCTTTTTTTTAAAAATAAGACAATCTCAGTTTCATTCTTACAGGGCACTACCATTTCCTTGGCCAAACTACTACATGCTTCCACCACAGCTTGTGAACACTAGACTATCTGTTTAATAACCTCTCATTTCATTTCCTTCCCTGCATGTCTCTCAATCTTTAACCCCCAAAGATGGGCTAAGAGAGAAACATGGATGTGAGAGAAACACATGGATCAGCTGCCTCCCAAACACACCCCAACCAGGCTGGGAACAAAATCTGCAACCCAGGCCCATGATCACATTTAAATATGATATTGGGAGAAGTGGGAGAAACTGTGACTACTATAGAAATTGATGAAGAAATATATGAAGAGATATATAAATCAACAAAACGGGATATTCCAATGCTTTCTGCCCGGGGAGATGGTGTTGTGCTAGTTGCCCCTCCATTGAGAGTTGGCTGAAACAAAGAATATATCCTGTGTGGAAATTAGGACTTTATATGATTGTGTCTTTAAAGATAGAAGATATTCAAAAAGAAACCTGTATAAATTTTGATATTAAGAAATGACCAAAGATTCTTCTGCTCCTAAAATGAGTTTATTTGTACATAACTCATAAATTCTTAAGCTAAATGGCATTTTTGTTTCTCCAACCCTTCCAATAAATGTGATCACCAAAATGCAAAAAAAAAAAAGGGAAGAAAAGAGATGGGCTAAATTCTTTTTACTCAGTATCTAAAGTAGAGGAAGAAGCCCAGCAGACATGGTTGAGCATTGACCTATGAACCAGGAGGTCATGGTTCAATTCAGCTAATGGGCTTGATCCCTGGTGTGGGGCATGCAGGAGGCAGCCAATCAATGATTCTCTCTCATCACTGATGTTTCTATCTTTCTCTCCCTCTCTCTTCCTCTCTAAAAAATCAATAAAAATATATTCTAGAAAGCAAAAACACTGTAGCTGAAATAAAGGATGCCTTTGATGTGCTTATTAGACTGGACACAGCTGATGAAAGAATCTGAGCTACAAGACATAGTAATAGAATCCTTGAAAACCCAAAAATAAAGAGAACTAAGATGAGGAGGTTAAAAAATCCAGAACACTCAGGACTATGGGACAACTAAAACAGGTGTAACAAAAACATAATGGGAATGCCAGAAGAGAGAAAGGAAGACAAGAAATATTTGAAAGGGAAACACTTTCTGTCTAATCCCCATTCGGGTATTCTCCATGCAGCACTGGCTGCATGCATTAAGAAGAAAGGGAGAGTAAACTTTAGTACTCACCCCTCCAAATACCATCCTAAGGCAGAGGCTGTATTTCTCACTATTGGTACTTTACTCCATCCTTTTACTAACTGGATCAGCAACCTTAGATTACTGACCTGAAATTGGCTGAGTCCTTAGGGGGACTTAAAACATTAGGATCAGGATTACATATCTTGGCATCTGACATTAAAGGTTCTAACCTACTTTTTCAGAGAAATAGTTTTAATTCTGATGACCATTTTCTATACTATATGAATTAGATAGCAAGCTGACCGCTTCATAACTAATTCTGGTTTTATACAAAAATGTCTAATTTTCAAACAATGGAATTTATGTGGATTAATACTTAAATTAGGAACCAGAAAATTTGAACCATATGGGTTTTGGGGTTTGTTTTTTTTACTGATTTGAGAGAGAGAAACATCAATTTGTTGTTCCACTTATTTTATGCATTCATTGGCTGCTTCTTATTTCAATTCCCAGTCAATGTGCCCTGACCAGGAATTGAACCCACAACCTTGGTGTATCAGGACAATGCTCTATCCAACTGAGCTATCCGGCCAGGGCCCTATGTAGGGTTTCTAATGAGGAAAGTAGTATTTCATCTTAAAGGGACTTACTTGATTAGCTACAATAGGCACTTTTCCCTGACGTGCTAATAAATTTAGTCTATTCAGCAATATATAGAATCACATTCACTATTACCTTTAGAACAATTCAAATCAGTAGGCTATTCTAGACAAAACTCAGAAACAAAGATTTTTACTATCCAAGATTTGGCTGTTCCTATAGCTTTCATGCCAGTCCTAACTATGTATTTTAAAACCAGATACATCCCGAAGTGGCAACAAGAGTTTCCAAGACAGACTCAATGACAAATGGTCCTAGTGGCGGAAGAGGATGATCCTGACATTCTACCATATAGTACCACACACATCATCAAAATAAGAGGAAGCTCCCTATATTCATATAGTTATGTAAATTTCAGTTCTTTGTTAAAGGAAAAAAATATTTCAAAGATACTCACTCTCTTTTTTAATATCGATTTCTTTTTTAAACGTTTTTGCATCATTTCTTTTTCCAAAGACACTTTCTGACTTGGAGTTAGCTGTTCTTGAATTCTGTTTAGCTCTTCTTTGTATGCCTGCCAGTCTGCCTTGTAAGCATCTTCATATATCTATAAATAAATAAAAACAATAAGTCAATAAACTGTTGCTACCAAGGAAAGACAACTGCATGACTTCAGATAAAGACAGACTGAACCATCATGTGGAAAATGTGCACTGGGATCACATTATATGGACCAAAATCATGACTTTTTCATCATATACATGCTAACCAACTTGAGAGTTTAGCAAGTAGTCTTCAATTTCACATTGCTGCCAACCCTTCATCACCACCCCACACATCTATATTATCATTTATGTAGATCAGAAGGTATGAAGTTCCTTTGTCTATAATAGATATTTAAAAATCAAACAACAACAAAAACATCATCTCTGGGTCATTTGGTCCTTTAAAGGGCATGACAACTGCAGAATAACTGGCCAGCAATGTTGAAAACCTATATGCTTACCTTTTTCTCTGATTCAGGAAGTTCCCTCCATATCTCCGCGATTTTTTTAATTAGTTCTGAATTTTTCGCTTCTATGGATTGGAATGAGAAAAGATGTCACAGCTTTATGTCTCATGAATAACTCGTAAAGATTTCCAGGAAATCATAACACATCAGCTCTAAAAGTAAGTTTTATTAGACAACTCTATACCACACACAACTTAATACAATGATTTAGCTTTTCTTTAACCAATTTAAATAACTTTAACCCTAGCCAGTTTGGCTCAGTGGATAAAGCATTGACGCAAGGACTGAAGGGTCTCGGGTTTGATTCTGGTCAAGGGCAATACCTCAGTTGCAGGCTAGATCCCCATCCCTGACTCTAGGTCAGGGCACCTGCAGGAGGCAAACAATTGATGTTCTCTCTCTGTGTCTCTCCCCCTTCCTTCCACTCATAAAAATCGATGGAAAAATATCCTCAGGTTAAGAATAACAAAAATTAAATATATAACTTTAGTGCTTTATCCAAATTGTTACAGTCTTTTATCTAATAACCAAGGAGTATATCACATATCACCAAAACAGTCCTCAGAACTTATTGCTAGTTTAAGCAGTTCAGTAATCAATTTCTTCAAGTTCTTTACTTCATATTTCAGTCAAACATTTTTTTCGAGCCTTTTAGGAATTAAGTTCATAACATCTGAGTAAAGAACAAAATACAGTCTTGGCCGAAACCGGTTTGGCTCAGTGGATAGAGCGTCGGCCTGCGGACTGAAAGGTCCCAGGTTCGATTCCGGTCAAGGGCATGTACCTTGGTTGCGGGCACATCCCCAGTGGGAGATGTGCAGGAGGCAGCTGATCAATGTCTCTCTCTCATCGATGTTTCTAACTCTCTATCTCTCTCCCTTCCTCTCTGTAAAAAATCAATAAAATATATTAAAAAAAAAAATACAGTCTTGATTCATATACCACCATCTTGGATTTGAATTACAGAAATACCAGTTGCAAACAAACTAAACTTTTCTAAAATCAAGTCATTATTCCCCATGTTCTTCCTCATCTTAACTAAAAAGGGTATAAATGCTTTAACAAACCACTTACTAATTTCAACTCCTACATTTTAAAAAGGTGTGAGCCCTTAATATGTCTCATAAACCAATTCTTTATGAGAAGTTTTATTATGTCTCATTTGATTTTCAGAAGTGCCCTGTATTGTTTTGATGTATTGTTTGTGAATGGGCTTTAGAAATCATAAGCAAAAGTTAGCTATTATTAATTTAGTTATTATCCTTACACTACAACCTCAAATGAAGGCCCTATAGCCTTTCCAGGGAGTCGTCAAACATCCAACCTGGAAATCTTTCAGTACAAAAGCTCTTGCGTTAGCAGTGATTTATATAGACCAGGGGTCCTCAAACTTTTTAAACAGGGGGCCAGTTCACTGTCCTTCAGACCGTTGGAGGGCCGGACTATAGTTTTAAAAAAAACTATGAACAAATTCCTATGCACAATGCACATATCTTATTTTGAAGTAAAAAAAAACAAAACGGGAACAAATACAATATTTGTATTTGCATGTGGCCCGTGGGCTGTAGTTTGAGGACCCCTGGTATAGACCTTTACAGTTCACAGAACACTTCCACAGAAGTTACTTCATTGTCACTCCCATTAAAAATTCCCTGTGGCAGAAGGGGCTAGGCAAGAGATAAAAAGATTCATGGTGGTCCTCTAAGCCAATGGCAACTAGGCCCAAAATTAAGCTTTTTCATAACTTCTTCCCTAGTTGCTTTGTATTCTACATGCTTCTATTTTTAAAATATCTTTCATTAGTTCTTTTTTTAAAAAATATTTTTTTTATTGATTTCAGAGAGGAAGAGAGAGGGAGAGATACAAACATCAATGATGAGAATAGGCTGCCGAAATTCTGGCATGTGCCCTTAACCAAAATCGAACCCGGGACCCTTCAGTCCACAGCCTGATGCTCTATTCACTAAGCCAAACCAGCTATGGCATTAGTTCTTAATTATATTTAAAACATTTCTGCCCTGCTGGTTTGGCTCAGTGGATAGAGCGTAGGCCCTGGGACTGAAAGGTCGTGGGTTCAACTCCGGTCAAGGGCACAGACCTAGGTTGCAGCCTCCATCCTGGCCCTGGTTGGGGGTGTGTGGGAGGCAACCAAACAATGTGTCTGGGATCTTCCTCTCTCTCTGTCTCTCCCCCTCCCTTCCACTCTCCCTAAAAAACAACAACAACAAAAAATCAATGGAAAAACATCTTCAGGTGAGGATTAATAACAAAAACATTTCTACTTGGTGAAAAATATGTTAGACCTGCTATTTCACAGACCCTCAAATAGAAGGTTATGTTCCTGCAGTCAATGGATGGTTGGCAGTGTACATCAAATTTACGGCTTAACTGCTCAGTGAGCTCTTTATTGCATCAGAGAAGGGCACCAGCCCCCCAACTCCTTACCTGGGTTCCGAGCTTTATATATGGCTAGCTGTTCTTTGGAAAATCGAACGTAAGAAGTCATTGGCTTCTTTGGATAACTACTCAAAGTGGATGAAAACCATCTGGGTATATACACAAATCTGCAGTAAGTAAAAAAAGGAAAGAACCAATGTCAAGGATTTAAGCGCCAATCATAGTCACCTGTATATCAATCAATAGGCCCCAAATAAGAGGTGATGAAGATGCTAGTGACACTGACAATCGTGCCCTAACCAGAGGGAAGAGCCTGCAAAACTGAAGCCCCTACCCTCACCCCCCACCCCGCCACGAAGGGCAGAGAGTGCAGAAAACATGTACTTCAGCTCCGGGGCCCCGCCTCCTCAATGCCTAGAAGAAGGCGGGACACGGTCGGCGCGACTTTACAAAGAGTGGCCGGGGAACCAGGTGCGCGGAGGCCGCATGGAGGGGGGAGGGCGCCGGAAGCAAGGCGCGGGGTACTCCTCCTGGAGTCGGGCCTGCAAAGGCACCCTTCCCTTGGCAAGGTCGAGGTCTGAACCACAGGGTCTGAGCGTCCCTGACCTCTGGGAGGGACAGAAGGTGGGAGACACCGTCTACATCCTGGCCCCAGGGCGTCGCGCGCCCCGCCGCCGGGTCCAGGCGAGGGTCCTACCTGAAGGGTGCGCACAGCCGAGTCCCGCAGTCCGCGCAGAGCTCTGCTCCGGACTTCCCCAGGGCGCTCAGCACTCCCCAAACGCCCCGAAGAAGCGGCATGGCACCCCGCCAGGCCGTGGCCGGACCCCAAGCTCGCAGAGCGCCCTGGCGCAGCAGAGCCACCCCCACAAAGGCAACCCGCGTCCAACCTTCCCAGCTTGTTATCAAACCCGGACTCGCGAGGCACTATGGGAAGTTTACTCCGGTTGGTAGGTAGGGGACGAGGCGAGGCAGCATCGGCGCAGGCGCCGTAGTGACTT